GAAGGTTGAACTTTCAGTGCCATCCCCTGAACTCCGGGGAGGGGAGAGGGACTGGAGGTTGAATCAATCACCAATGGCCAGTGAGTTAATCAATCATGCCTGTGTAATGAAGCCTCCATAAAAACCCAAAACCCAAAAGGCATTCGGAGAGCTTCCAGGTTGGTGAACACATGGAGATTTGGGGAGAATGGCACACTCAAAGAGCATGGAATCTCCACACCCTTTCCCCATACCTTGCCCTATGCATCTCTTCCATCTGGCTGTTCCTGAGTTATATCCTTTTATAAACTGGTGATCTAGTGGGTAAAATGTTCCCCTGAGTTCTGTGAGCTGCTCTAACAAATTAATCAAACCCAAGGAGGGGGTTATGGGAACCTCCCATCTATTGCCGCTCACTCAGAAGCGCAGGTGACAACCTGAACTTACAACTGGCGTCTGAATCGGGCATGGGGGTGGGGGGGGCAGTCTTGCAGGACTGAGCCTGTGGGATCTGAAGCTATCTCCAGGTAGACAATGTCAGAATTGAGGTAATTGCTTGGTGATGTTGGGGAAAAGCCACATGGTAGGACTCCCAACCCCAGCCCATGCCCACTCCTGCACGAGCTTGGGAAGTCCTGCACACTTACATGGGCAACTCAAAGTCCACTATGATGCCTTTCAGCCCATCAGCAGTGCTGGACACCCAGCAACATCGGGCTGGTGGGATTTCTCCCCAAATGCAAACAAGCATGACAAGAGCATGTGTGTTATCTGCTTCTCTTCCCCTGGCTGCCCCAAAACACGTTCTACACACCCCTGCTTGGAGAGTACGGGGTCTGGGTGACTGGGGGTTAACAGGCAGTGCTCTGTGGCCCTCCCAATGTGGGAGGAATCTCTTTAGAATATGGAGTTCCTGTCTCTGCCTGAGACACCACTGGACAATGACAGCAACCCTTCAAGCCCAGCATGCAAGTAAGCACATCTGCCCCTCACTGTAAACCCTGTCACTTGTTGCAGCAACAGAGAACCGAGGGTGGTAGGAAGGGCAAGACAAGTCCTTTCCAAACATTCAATAAGGCCAATTTCACTCATTTAAAATTTTTTAAAAATACGTAAGTCACTCTTGAAAAGCTGAAAAACAGAAGAGGAGAAACTCATCCACATTGCCACCAAATGTTTTTCATTAATTTTTTTTTCTTTTTTCTTTTATTGTGGTAAAATACATGACATAAAATTTACCATTTTAACCATTTTTAAGCATGCAGTTCAGTGGCATTAAGTAGATTCACATTATTGTTCAACTATCACCACCATCCATCTCCAGAACCCTTTTCATCTTCCCAAAGTGAAACTCTCTACTAATTAAACACTAACTCCCCGTTGCCCTCCCCCAGCCCATCAACCCCCATTCTACTTTCTGTCCCTATGAATCTGACTCCTCTAGATACCTCATGTAAGTGAGATCATATAATATTTGTTCTTTTGTGACTGGCTTATTCCACCTGGCATAGTGTCCTCAAGGTTCATCCATGTTGTCACATGTGTTAGAATTTCCTTCCTTTTTAAGGCTGAACAATATTCCACTGTATAGATAGACCACATTTTATTTATCCAGTCATCCTTCGATGGACACTTGGGTTGCTTCTACCTCTTGGCTACCGTGAATAATGCTGCTGTGAGCACGGGTGTATGGATATATGCCCAGAAGTGGGATTGCTGGGTCATGTGGTAATTCTATGTTTAGTTTTCTGAGGAACTGCCATTATGTTTCCATAGTGGAAGAAATATTTAATCATAAAAATTACTTTAAAAACACTCATGATCTTTAGATCCCCCCTTACTTCAGAAACAGACACAGGGACTAGCACTATCTTGTGTATCTTTCCAGAAACTTTCTAAGATATGCAAGTATGTGAACATATGTGTAATTTTCCCTCCTATACAATTGGGATCCTCCTAAACAATGTTCTGCATTGATTTTTCCTAACAATATATTTTTAGTGGAGACATATAAAGCATAAAAGTCATCATTTCAGTGGTTTTTAGTCTACTCACTGTTTGTGTACCCATCACTACTGTCTAACTCCAGGACATTTCCATCGTCCCAAAAAGAAACCTCGTAGCTATTAGCAGTCACTCCTAATTCCCGCCCCCTCTCTCTATCACCTGGCAACCACCAATCTCCTTCTGCCTCTAGGGATTTGCCTCTTCTGGACATTTCATGTGGATGGAATCGTACAATATGTGGTCTTTTGTGTCTGGCTTCTTTCCCTTAGCATGTTTTCAAGGTTCATCCATGATATAGCATGTATTGGTACTTATTCCTTTTTGTGGCTGAATAATTTTCCATTGTATGGATATGCCACACTTTGTTTACCCATTCATCTGTTGACGGACACTTGGTTGTTTCCATTTTTATTATGTAGTATTATGAATAATGCTTCTATGAACATTCATATGCAAGTTTTTGTGTGGACGTGTTGTCATTTCTCTTGGGTATATGCCTAGGAGTGGAGATGCTGGGTCATATGGAAATTCTATATTTAACTTTTTGAGGAACTGCCAAGCTTTTTTCCACAGCAGCGTCACCATTTTACTTTCCCACTAGAAATGTATGAGGGTTCCATTTTTTCCACATTCTCACGGACACTTATTCTTTTCCATTTTAAAAAATAGCTATGTTAGTGGGTATGAAGTGTTATCTCATTATGGCTTTGATTTGCATTTCCCTAATGACTAGTGATGTTGAGCATCTTTTTGTGTGCTTACTGACCATTTGTATTTCTTTTTTGGAGAAATGCCCATTGAAATCCTTTGCCTGTTTTTAAATTGGGTTGTCTCTTCGTTGTTGAGTTGTAAGAGTTTTTATGTTTTTAAATATATTCTGGATAGATCATTATCAGATAGATGATTTGCAGATTTTTCTCCCATTCTACGGGTCGTCTTTTCACTCTCTTGTTGGTGTTGACCTAAAAGAGTTTTTAATTTTGACGAAGCCCAATTTGTTTCTTTCATTGCTTTTGGTTTCATATCTAAGAAACCATTCCCTAATCCAAGGTCACACAGATTTACACCTGTTTACTCCTAATGATTTTTTAGTTTTTGATCTTACATTTAGGCGTTTGATCTATTTTGAGTTACTTTTTGTGTCTAGTGTGAGGTATGGGTCCAACTTCATTCTTTTGTATGTGGATATCCAGTTGTCCCAGCACTATTTGTTAAAAAGGTTATTCTTTCCTCCATTGAATGGTCTTGGAAAAATATATTTTTGGCATAAATTCATAAAGATGTTTCCCATTTTTTTCATTATTGATGTACCTTATTTTTAAAAATAAAACATTCATCTATTCAATAAATATTTACTGAGAGTCTTCGATGCTGGTCTCTGGGCATACAGCTGTGAATGAGACCCTGTCCTCGAGGAGGCTACATTCTAGAGGAGCGCACAGTGAATTAGTAGGGAAAGGGACAAATAAAGCAATTGCAACTGGGAGCTATGCGAGGAAACAAGGGGGGAGGAGGCGGAGGAGAAGGAGCTGGATGAGGACGTACTTTGGCCGAGAAGGCCACCTAAATCTTCCCCGGGGAATCGGAGACCAGCGGGCAAGGTGCGTGAGGCACAGCCAGTTGGCCCTGTTGGAGAAACTGGGAAACAGATGGGGCAGAGGGGCGAGAAACGCGGGCAAAAAGGCGCGCACTGAGGGAAGACTAGCGAGGCAAGAGCCCCGGGGCGCACGGAGGAGGGGCATAGTTCAGAAGGTCACCAAGTCGGCCTCCGGAGAGTGGACTGGGAGCAGTGAGGCAGGCCGACGACCAGCTGCGAGAACCAGGAGTGATACAGAGGTTTGCGTCCGGTTGCGGGGACAGGAGGAGAAACGCAGGGACAGGCTCAGGGCCCTGCAGGCCAGGTCCGGAGCCGGCGCGGGGCTAGAGCGCAGCAAGCTCGCGGGGGCAGGCGTCCAGCCGGCCGGCAGAAACTAAGTGTCGGAACCCCGGTCCCCCTGCTCCCGGCTCTGCGCTCTCCCAGACTCGCTTTCCTCACAGCCGTGAGGGCGAGGATCGCTGGCTGCTACGATTGCCTCCCTACCCCGACGACGGCCAGGACTGACAGGGTACCCACACGAGCTCTCGAGGGCCCGACCCGCGGAGGGCCGGCAGGGTCGCGCCGGAGCGCCTGACGTCACGAGGCCCAGCAGGCCTCGCGCGGCGCCCCACCCCCGGCT